TCCCGCCAGCGCACATCGTCATCAGATGGCGGCTATGCTTGGTGAAACAGGAGGCACCCCATCGTCGCAGCCACGTTCTTGCCTTACCGGTGACAAAGTGCCGATTTCTCCATGGCATCACATGGAGAATACAAGCCTTCCCGCCAGCGCACATCGTCATCAGATGGCAGCTATGCTCGGTGAAACAGAAGGCACGCCATCATCGCAGCCATGTTCTTGCATGACTGGTGACACAGTGCCCGTTTCTCCATGGCGAGCAAGCATCAGCGACGATTCCGATCCGTTCGTTGCAGGAGAGGACGACATCTTCCTGGCGGCCTCTCAAGGTGGCGCACCCCCCCCTGGTATCCCTGATCGGATCTGGATGTACGGGAGAATGCGCGAGGGGTTTCAGGGTCCGCACATGTTAGGGTCTCCCAGCACTTACTGCGCTCCTCCTTCACAAAGGACGCACGCTGCGATGCTCGCGTCGTACGGCCAAGCCAGGCCGGGGAGCAGTTTCAATGGGTCAAGCGGCTACGGTGTCCATGCCGGGTCGTTCTCGCAGTTCTGGCCAGGCCCGGGTGGAAGGATGCATCCGCCTGCGCTCAGGAGCGATCAGCCTTTGCTTGGGAGCGATGAAGCTCGTCGATCAGCATGGAGGAAGACTCCTCCTGCGGCGAGTGGGCTGATGGCGCCAACTCCTTTTCGAGATTCATTGCCGAACACCGTTGCTGGATCACCATCGCCCGCGATATCTCCTGGGAATGTGTCTAGCACGGACGATGGTGGCAGCGGCAGCAAGAAGTCTCCCGCTCAGACACCGCTGAAAGGAAAGGGCCGCGGCGGCAAGCGTACGAATGACAAGAATGCTGGTGGAATTGGCAATGGAAAGGCAGCAGTGGTGTCAGAAGCAGATGGGGATGATGACGGAACTGGCGTGGATGGAGGAGGTGTGGGTGCGCAAGAAGAGGTGCCTGCAGCTGCGCCGGAAGGGGGGGCTGTGGGTGCGCAATCCGGGGCACAACCGCGCGTGGTGTGGAATGTGGAGGAGCAGTTGGTGTTGGTAAGATGCAAGATCGACAGGATTTGGAGGAGGAGTCGCATGGCCGCAGCTCCGTCAAGCGCTTCAAGTCGAAGGATACTGTGTGGTCGAAGGTAACTGTGTTGATGGCGGAGAGTGGGGTTGTGAAGGAGCAGGACGCATGTTCCCAAAAGTGGGACAGTCTTATGTCGCACATGCAGCGGGTGAGAGACTACCATCGGAAGTCTGGAGCTGAGGATTACTTCACGATGACTACGAAAGTGAGGAAGCTGAAGAAGCTCGACTTCTGCATGAGACCCGCCGTTTACGATCTCATGTACACCTTCTACGAGAAAGATCCGACTGTCAACCCGACAAATCTGAGCGACAGCGGCGTAGGCTTTGTGCCCCCCCCCGAGATGGTGGACACCCCGGCTGACGATCCTGGTGTGGCGACAGGGTGTGAAGGTTCGTGCAAGCGTCGGAAGACACAACGAGACAGGCGCATGGCGGACATGACAGATGCTGTGAGGGATCACGGCAAGGCGACCGCTTCGGGCTTCTCTAGCGTCAGGGAGGCACAGAAGGAGAACACGACGATGATTGTTGGTGTGATGGACAAGATGAACAGCACCATTGCGGCCAACGGAACCGCGCTCTCTGGAGCTGTGGCCCTCATCGCCCAAGCGTTCATGAAGACAACAAGCGCACCAGAGGCGACATCCTCCGCACCCTCCCGTGGAAGCACTTGATCTCACCGGCGACTGCAACCAGTGGAAGCCCAGTCTTCTTTTAAAAGAATAGTATTCATATAATAAAGCCGCTGTGCGGTTCAGCTCGTGCACGACAACATCATTCATTGGTTGCTCAGCAACAGTTAGGGGAATAAACATGCAAAGCGGCGGATTGATTTTTCTTTCCGCATCCGGGATGATTAGTGCGGGGTTTATTAGCGGTACTGTAGATCATGGCATTGATGCGACGGCGATCTGCTGGCACTGCTGTCACGTTGACGGCCTATTTTTTTTCGAGCATCACCTATATTGGTTTTTTTTTTTTTCCCTTTGTTTTCCATATCATTTATTGCGGTGCGTGAGCATTTCACGAATTGGAATGTAATTCTTCCACCTATTTGCATTGTGTCAACCCTTTACACTGCCGTCACGTTGACGGGCTTTTTATTTCGAGCATCACCTATATTCGTTGTTGTTGTTGTTGTTGTTGTTGTTGTTGTTGTTGTTGTTGTTGTTGTTTTAATCTTTTTTTGCAGTGTGTGAGCATTTCACGATTTGGAATGTAAATCTTCCACCAAGTTTTTTTTGTCTACAGTTTAAGGATGACAACGACCTCGTCACCCATTGGCAAAAAATCGAGTTGTCGGGATCACACCAACCGATGCACACAGAGGAGGGGGGAGAGGGGATAACACAGCATCGGGAAACATGCTTGTGTGACGGGGGCGACCTCCCACCAGAGAACTGAAAAAAAAATGCCCAAAGGAATGTAGCGGGAAATGATGTTCATGGAAATGGATGCTTCGGGCTGTCCGCAGCGTTGATTTCTGTTTTGTTTTTTTTGGGTTTTTTTTTCAGTGTTTCTCAGGCCATGTTTTTTTTTTTTTGTTTTTTTTTTTTTGCTTTCAATAACACAGCGTACACTACCTGCCCCCAACTACTCCTGATCATAGTGTTGCGGGGAGCCCATGTTGCTATACTTTGGAGTGACAGTGACTAGGTAGTGTACTGTATATTAGAGAGCCTTGTGTGAAGTGTGTGGTTGATTCAATCGTTGACTTCTGAACTTAGCTTATGAAACGGTATTCACCAATTCGTGGTAGCTGAGACAGATCCCAGGGCTCGATCCCTAGTTTCCCAACTTACCTGTGTACAATACCTGCGTCAACTCGAAGAGTTGAACCTGCGACCTGTAGAACCGCCAGT